AACGTTGACTTGGTCAAAATCCAATTTAACAAAAAAATTAATGATGTTTTAACTTATTTATTTATTTATTTTTAAAGCAACAACTTTTTAGACTAGTACAGGACAACAAAACAAATCTATTATATGAGATGTGAACCTGATTGTATTTAGTTTTTAGAACCACATTTTAATTATATGAGATATGGTACTTGTTTGAATTTTAGCATCCATAAGCGGTAATCGAAATAAACATACAACAAAAATAAAATTAGAAAATGAATGGGAATTTTGGAAAAAAATTTGAATATGATATCCACAAAGTTGGATAATAATTGAGTATAACAAGGGTTAGTTCATAATGAGAAGTAAACCTAGGGATTTCATGCCATTTGTGTGAGACTTTTAATAGTGATTAATTTAAGATCATAATGTTTAATCTTTTCAGGTTCATCATGGTGATGCCAAGAATAATTAGGCGTATGTTATTTAATAATTATGTTGTATGGTTGTTGTATATAACTTTGTATGGAGGCCATGTAATGAATTTTACAAATAATATCTTTTGTTGTGTAATCCATAACAGAATTGTATAAATGATGGAACTATGAATGAACGTAAGGTTTAATTACATGCATGTTTATGTTTTATTTGTTAGCATGTATGGGACCATTTAATTTCAAAAAATGTGTAATTTCTAAATCTTGATATGATCTAAATATAAAGAAATCTCTCTCAGGATTTTGATAGAATATTATAGAAAAATACTACTTTAATTTTTAATAAATCAAATATTTCATAGTTCTTAATACATGAAGTTGACTTAGAGTTACCCTGAAAAACTAGAGGTGTTAAAAGATGGTTCCTTTCTTTATTTTTTTTTAACTTAAACTTGTTCAGGTCACAAATCGACCTATTAGGTTAGTTTGATTTTTATAACGGGAGTTATTATAATATTATTAATTTTAAAATTCTATATTAATTAAAATTAAAAATACTTAATTATTTTTTAAAAATATATATGTTTGACAATAATATATATTAAGAGTAAAATAAAGTTTTTTCATATTTTATTTTATCTTATCCATCGTCATTAAATAGAATATAGATCGTCATTAAATAGAATATAGAGACAATTATTATGATATCTTTTGCACTTTTACCAAACACACAATTTTATTTTTATTTTTTTTATGTTATCTTTGTTATCTCTGTCATTTATGTCCCAAAATAGTAACCAAATGTTACCCCTAAAACCGTAAGCAAGATGATCAAGACTTTGAGAATCTCTTGGTGGGTTTAAAAAGGTAAATGAGCTAATGACCAAGTAGATACATGCTGGAAGTTTTTCTTGTTTAGCTTTGAAAAGAAAGCGAGTTTTATAGCATTAGGCTACTTGTTTCCTTCGTATAAGATGGATTGAGGATTAATGTCTTAATGAATGATTTCCTTATCAAGGCTAATTCTAGGTCGGTTTTCTTTTCTATTTTATTGGACAAGAATTAGAGTTGAAGAGTAGTATTTAAAGAATACATCTTTCTATAATTCTTTGGCCTTTCTTGATAATACATAATTTTAATAGAAGTTTTTTTAAGCGATTTATCTTTCTTGCAATTTAGCCTTCTTTAATTTATTTTATGAGTTATTTACATATTTATACTTTATCCTTTATACAATTTACTTTTTTTAAGTTTATTATTTTGTTTACAATTCATGCATTTATTTATCCTAACCATTTTATTTACTTGTTTATCTTTATATACTTTTAATTTATTTATTGTTCCTATTTTCAAAGTAATTTAATGTTTTCTCTTAGTCTAGATATTAGTATGTTTGATGTGAATTTATGTAGCTTTTTCATAATAGATCTTCTTGATTTATTATTATATGAACTAACAAATAGTTTCTTGCCAACAAGTCAATTTGACTTATAACTAATTAATGTGAATTCTTCTAGTTTCATCATACTTTGTATGATACTCAATGAATCTCTTGGTGTCTTTTATGAATCAAACTAGCTTATTTCCAAAGTGAATAATATTTGGTCATGGATTGGAGTAGCGTTTAAAGTAGTGTTGATCAAATTAGACATAATTATTTAAGACTTAATGAAATATTGTGATGCATGATCGATATAGAGCTTAAGAACAATTATTTCGTTAATACAATTATTTGGTATTATAATAATTGTTAATTCATGCTTATTTGAACTGATTTGATTCTAGATTTCTATAGAAATAATATCCTGTTTTTTGTTATGATATAATTTTTATTTATTTGCATATTAAGTCATAAATATTCCATTCTAACCTTTAAAGGAAGAAAGAAATTTAATCGGCCACAATATTGTAACCTAACTTCATCATCTTACAAAGCATTATTAAAACAAAAGGGAATTAATTAAATTACTGATTAAAGGGGGGTATATTCTATTTTTATTTGTCCAGAATTAAACTTCAAGATTGAGTATTGATGTTCTTATGAATCTCCCGAGTGGATAATTATACCAAATAAGTGGATTCAGTATTGGTATAGAAGTAGCTCGAAAAACCCCTTAATTGAAAATACAGGAAAAAAAAGCATTGCTAAATAAACAATGTTAGTAAATGCTAATAAGTAATGGTCTGAAATCTGTTAGAGCCACACTCACATGATACTTAGATTGTTGGCATTAATATAAAAAAGGACATCCAAGTATAATTAGAATTGTTTAGTAGAAAAAACTTTAAATCATGTAGGAGTTAACCTGATTGGGGTCCATATATAATTTTGATCATCAGTAAAAATATAGTTTGACTAAAAAAATTCAATAAAACATTCTTTTTTCTTTTTAAAATATTGAAACGATAATATATTAGATTGATCTGGATTAACCTTTTAAATTTGCAACCCGAGTCATGAGATCATGATAACTCTATATAAATCAAATCGAAATAAATTATGAAGTTCAATTTTCAATTAACACAATGTTGAAGAATGAAATTGAAAAAAATAATTCAAAATAAAAAAAATAACTCAAGTCAAATTGAGTTAACCCAACTCGGGTCATAAAACTAAATTAACTCGCTAAACTCGTGACATAAACCATTAGATTGAAAGCAAACTATAATAAATCATGAAGCATAATGTCTAACAAACTAAATATTAAATGATAGAATTAGAAATAAAAAATATAATTTTTTTTAAATTACAATAAATAATATTTTGTGAGATAATATATAGCAGCACAACTTTGCAACTTCTTAAATAGTGAACAAAATGATTTTAAACAAATATTTTATACTAAAATTTTATATAAACTATGTATTAACTTGTAAGTGGGACATTATGAATGATATTCTATGAGGAATTAACTATTGCTTATTTTTATATAAAACTTTATATAATTTGTTTGTTTATAATAGTACGATGTGTTTTATGTACTATATATGTTTGTCACAAATCCAAATTTAAAAAATAATGATTTTATTTTTTTGTTATGAAAAATTAAAGAAGGGTTTTGAACCTAAAAACTAAAAAAAAAATACACTTTAGTTGAGCTAAAAAATAATGTAAATAAATTCTTTCAAAAAAAAACTTATCGATGCTTTTTTGTATTATTTTATTTTAAATGCAAAGAAAAAATACATTTAAAGAAAACACGCGCGCGGGAGCGCGTATATATATATATATGGGAGATAGTGATAAATGTGAGCACGTGCAAAGGAGAAACAACAACACAATTTCAACCAGCTCATTTAACACCCTCGGCTTATCCTCTTCCAATAAGATTATTTATTCATCAGTTTAAATATTGAATGGCAGCAACATCTCAGTCTCTCTGCAACTATTTTATTCTGGTCGCTTTCCTCATTCACTTCACCAGTAAGAGTACTGGTGATCAGCTAAGATATTTTTATAAAAAAAAAATATTAAATAAAAAAATTATGTGTGAGTTTTCTTGAAACACAAACATTTCCCTGTAAAAATATATTAGGTCTAGCACTTGTTAAATCTAATCATGATTGTGCTTAATAATATGCCATATTTCAAATAAATTAGGCTTGAGAGTATATTAAATTTTAGGTGTTGTAGCTAGCCAGACCGGTCATAATTGAATCAGGATTAATAGGTTTGGTACTAGCCAGACCCAGTCATAAATAGACTTGACAGCATGCCAAGCTTAAATATATTGAGTTAGTGCTAGCTAGACTTAAGAAATAATTAAGTATAACACCATCAATTCTATAAGATTTTATATAAAATTGTAAAAGAAATTATTTTTTAATAAATAGGTTTAATTAAACAAATTTATACTCCACTAAAATTATTTGATATATTAAAATATTTCATGGTCAGCATGTCATCATTTTTTAGTTAGATAAAAAAGTGGAATATAATTCATAATACAACTCAAAATATCACAAAAATAAAATTACGTTTTAATTCTTTATTTTCATAAAAAAAAATAAGATTCTTAAGTTATAAATACACCATGAAATTTTAAGAAAAAAGTTCACAATTTTATTCTCCATTGCATATATATTATGAGAACATTTCTCTATAAAATATTATTATATTTTTTAAAAAATATATATTTTTTTAAATATCAAAGAATAATTAATTTCATTAAAAAAAATTTTACAAGTAATAATTATAAATTATTTTGACCTGCCATGCACCAAATTTGCCTTATTAAAAAAGAAAATGAAATCATGGGATTATTTAATTAATTTATTATCCAAACCAGAAACCTTTTCGAGGAACCTTGTTCCTATGTACTTAATTTGTTATTACATCGTCAATTTGCTATTTCCTAAATATGGAATGATTGTGTTTAGTATCCTATGTGCATGGTGGTGAAGTGCATCTACTGCATTTATGATGGGTTTTCCTTTCCATGCCATTAATTTGGGTGGGTGGTAGCAGGTTAATTTGTCTGTATTATAATTCATTAATTAGCTTGCCGGACCACAATCTGTCCTACATAATTATTAACTTTTTTTTTATCTAGTAATTCTGTAAATTATAGAGTAATCGATCATTGTGGGCACTTTTTAATCTTTAATCTTGATTTTGCTGCTATGCTCTATATAACCACCCTAGGTGTGATGCCTGTTAACTAGACTCTTTTCGTTTTGTTTTTCCTTCTCCTCCTGGGTTTTGGTATCTGCAGGTGAGCAGGTCAACCTTTGTCATGTCATGCATCACCTTTTATCTTTTCCAGTAATTGATCTGACTTCACAACACGGTTAGGAAGAAACACACCGTTAATGTTAGTTAAAAGAAAGTCTGGGCTTATATTGTTAACTAACTTGATTTTCCTTTTCCTTTTTTATTTTTTGGCTTCAAACATCAGTTTTGATGCTAATTTATTCGCTGATTTTTCTCCCACAATCTCTTATATTTTTTGTGGTGCTGAAATTTTAGTAGACTAGTCGCAGAGTTTTAGCTGAGTTACGCCGGCCATTCCTGAATCTTGCTTGCCAGTGACGGTAGTTGACCGCCAACTTGAATGTTTTAAATGGCGCCTCTTAATCTGCGCTTATGGGACATTTGTATCTAAATCTGTACGTTTTCTGTAGAGCAGCGGGTGAAACAGCAAACTAATGGCATTGAAGGCATTTGCTGCTCAAGTTGAGGAGGGGAGGGAAGGAAAAGATGGGAAACCTTCCGTTGGTCCCGTGTATCGTAATATACTATCCAAGAAAGAATATCCTCCTCTTGATCGCGATGTGACCACTTCTTGGGATATTTTCAGGTATGAAATTGATCAGCAAGAGTAGTAGGAATCTCAGCTTGTATTAAGCAACATCCTTCTGTTATGCTATCAAGTATTAATTTAAAGCTAGACCTTAAGGTAATGGAAGCCAAAGCTTGCTACAAACTATGTTGGTTTTGCAGGTTTAGATGGTTAAAGAAACTAAGTTTGATACAATTAGACATGTTTGCTTTTATATGTGAGAATTAATGGAGATAGAACATAGATGTTTAGGCAGAATGGCAGCCCATGTAGCTTGCCAATGATGTTGGCTGGAGTTTAACTTGAAAGCTTCGATATTGAGATGCTTTTGACTTTTTTGCGCTTGTTATAAATTTTTTCTCTTGACAATGAAAATCTTTCGATGCATAGTTCATCTGCCAAGAAGTATCCTGGATATAAAATGCTTGGATGGCGTAAATTTGTTGACGGGAAGGTAAATATCTGGTTGAAAGTTCTGTAGATTAGAACAGTTGGGGCAGTTTTTTTTACTTCAATCCTTCTTTAGGTGGGGCCTTATGTCTGGAAAACTTACAAGGAAGTTTATGACGAAGTTTTGCAAATTAGCTCTGCATTGCGGGCATCCGGTGCTGAACCAGTAAGCATAGACATGTGCATTTAGCAGGGACTTGGATTAGAGTGACTTTGGATTTGAAGATTTGGCATTAAAGCTTTCTTTCTTTTCTTTTCCCTTTTTTCATTTTTCCTGTGCCATAATTAATTTCTGGTGGCAGGGCTACCGAGTTGGTATTTATGGATCAAACTGTCCTCAATGGATCGAGGCAATGGAGGTCTGCTTTCTTTAACATTCTACGACTTTCCGTTTATTGGCTGAGCTTTTATTTTCTGTACTTTCGTTGTCTCTGTGTAGGCTTGCAATGCCCAAAGCTTAGTCTGCGTGCCTCTCTATGATACTATTGGTAAACTTCTTTCTACATTACTCTCAATATAGGATTAAATCTGTGCTCTCTTTCGGTAAAAAAAGACAAAAAAAGGTTTCATCACTGGTTTTTTTTTCAAGCTGTAAATCCACTGGTGTGGGTGGTGTGATCGGATTCTGCAGCTGAAAGCTTTGCGAAGGAGAAAATCTTCATTTTTAGTTTTTTTCCTTTGTGCTTTCTACTTCAACTGAAAGTTGACAGTAAACTTCAAATAACCATTAGTGGCATGCGCTCTAGTTTTAAATCCTGCATTCCTCCGTCTCTCTGTAAGTCATTTATTAATATTCTAGAGATGGGTTTCCGAGGGGGCACCATGCATCTCGACCTTTCTGATTCTTCTCTCCAATTTAAGCAGGGGTTATTGGTTTTCTTGACTGCAGGTCCTCGTGCTGTAAACTTTATTATAGATCACGCGGAGATTGATTTTGTCTTTGTCCAGGACAAAAAAGTGAAAGAAGTAAGAAAAGTTTTTTCTGTTTTCTGATGATCATATGTATTCTCTTCCGCATGACGCTGCTTATAAGAGCTGCAGATTCTCTAATTTGACATGCACTTCTATTTGCAGCTGCTAAATCCTGATTGCGCATCTGCTCAGCGGCTTAAAGGTAAGTATTAGTGGACAGTCTGGAGAAGATTTGCTCGGAATGTTATCAAAATTTAAGTGCGATGGTTCTGGTGTAATCTTTTTCAACTAATTCATACGTGAGAGTTGCAAGAGATCGCTAAATAAATTGCCTGCAACTAGAATAAAATTTAAGATTGTAGGAAAGTAACTAGCAAGCATATAAACTTAAATAAGATGAATTAAACAAGTAAATCCTTTTCACTTAAACATGCATGCAAAGAAAGCTATATATTTTAGTATATTTACCTATTGGAGCACGTGGAATATAAAGGACATGCATGTCCCTTTGCTTTCAAGTGTCGTATTTTTTTGTCCTTATTGCTAGTTATTTGGCATAGATGGATTGACTATAATCAACATTCTAGTATTCTTACACCAAAATTTTTATTAGTTGTATTATTAAATAAGGTTCATGAACTAAAAAAACAAACTCAAAAATCTCTCAACAGAAAACTTACTTGACCTTAAGCTCTACTAAGGAAAAATAGTGTGGAAAAGTTGAGAAAAGCGAATGAGAGACAGCTAAAGACCTCCTGCTTTGTGTGCACCAAACATCTCCTCGTGAGCTCCTTTTTATACTGATTTCTTGATACAAAACTAATGCATAATAATTATCGTAATTACTATATTTAATTCTCATCATTTTATTTTAATTACCCCGCCATAAAAAAATAAAAATCTAACAATTCTTGTCTTAAAAACGTTGTTAAAGACCAGATTTTCTACTTAGAAAATAACATTATTCATGGAGAGAATTATTATTCAGATTGTTTATTCATAATTTGAGTAAACAAAAAGAAATTAATATAATTATTTATTAGCCACAAATTATTTAACAGTTGAGTAAACAAAAAGAAATTAATAAAAAACAATTATTTATTAGCCACAAATTATTTAACAACATATCTAAGTTGAAGCTAATGCCTAAACCCAATCCCTAAGACTAGGATCGAGTCCAATCAAACGAGCATATATATGACCTAAGCCCAAAACTCACTTAACCTAAAGTATTTTGCAACATTCTCATTATTAGAATCAAACATATCAATTATATAAAGAAAAATTATGGAAAAAAAATTTTTTCCTTAAATTTATATAAAAAAATTGTTAAAATTTTAACAGAGTCTTCCCTATATTAACAATCTCAAATTATCGATAATTATCCTACATACATTTTATATTCATTTCTCAACCATGTCATAGTCATTTTGAGTTTCAATAGCAAATTATTCATGGGCACAAGAATAGTATTTCACATATTCATTTCTTTTATATTAGGCATACATTAATTCATAAATAAATGAAAATAAACAAAAGTACAACATAATACAATTTATGTTCTAACATTTAATATAAAAAAGTTATTATTATATTTCAAGTTATATAATTAATTAAAGATAAAATACATTAGTATTCATTTAATTCATAAATCATACAAAAAAAACTATAAGACTTAAGACATTAGTCCTGACGTGAATGTGATAGACTTACAATTACATCATGTTTGAAATAATTATATTAAAAACAAAAATATAGCAGAAAAGAGAAAATCACACAATACATGCGCGCGTGCACATATATATATATATACACACACACACTTAAAGATATGCAATTGTAGTTCCTTGTTCTCATATAATCTTCCTTTATTACGTGTAGATTCACCATTCTTGAAATCATTCAACATTCTCATTTTATAAATATTATTAATTATTTTTCATTATGAACACCATTCATACTACTTTTTTCCAAATCTATGAAGGCTATTGTCAACACTAATGATCATTAGTCACCACCATTATTGAGACCGACTAATCAAATCTTTGATAATGTTGACATCAACATAGCAGGTTGATGCCATTAACTATTTCAGTTCTAAAATAGTTAATTAGGTTTTCATAATACCTTGAAAATAATTTTGGAAATGCCAATGTCAAGAGTTCTTGACACTTCTGCTCGACAAGATACAAAGTAATACTAACACCGTATTGATTCTCCCTTTTTAGAATGGGCTAATGTTGCAGGTAGGTAAGAGACAATATCCATCAATGGATCCCTTTCTGTGTTATTACCATACAACAAGTTATACCCTCTCCTCCGCATAAAAGACGGGTCAGTCCTTGCTCCCTATCATATACGAACCATCTTACAACATGTTTTCCCAAAACCACATTATTATTCCAATCCTTGAAATTTCAACTTGAAGCTCTAATACCAAATTATAATATTCTCATTACTGGAATTAAACATTTAAATAATATAAAGGAAAATCAGAATTAAACATTTAAATAATATAAAGGAAAATCATGGAGAAGTTTTTTTTCTTTTTACCAAAATTATCTAATTATTGCTAAAATTTCAATAGAGTCTCTCTCCTATACTAGGAGGTTTTAGATATCTACAATTATCCTACACACATATTATACTTATTTCTAAACTATATCACAATCATTTTGATTCTCAACAGCAAATTATTTATAGGCACAAGCATAGTATTTCACATACTCATTTTCTTTTACATTAGGCATATATTAATTCATAAATAAACAAAAATGAACAAACACTAAGATTAAAAGTACAGTATAACAAAATTTACATTCTCACATTTAATATAAAAAAGGTATTATTATATTTCAAGTCATATAATTCTTTAAAGACAAAATACATTAGTATTCATTTAATTCCTAGATCATACAAAAGAAAACTAGAGGACTTAAGACATTACTCCTGGCATGAATGTGATGCACCTGCAATTACATAATGTTTGGAATAATTATATTAAAAATAAAAATATAGCATAGAAGAGAAAATCACACAATACATGCACGCCCGCATGCACGCGCACATACTTTATGATACATAATTGTAGTTCCTTGTTCTCATCTAATCTTCCTTTACTACTTGTAGATTCACCATTCTTGAAATCATTTAACATTCCTATTTTCTAAATATTATCAATTATTTTTCATAAGGAACACCAATCGTACTACTTCTTTCCAAATCTGGGGAGACTATTGTTGACACAAATGATTCCTATAAGTGTCATTAGTCATCATTACTAGGACCAACTAATCAAATTTTTGGTAATGCTAACATCGATATAATCGGTTGATGCCATTAACTATTTCAAATCCAAAATAGTTAATTCATTTTCATAATACCTTGGAAATAATTTCAAGAATGCTGATATTAAGAGTTCTTAACATCATTAGCTATCACCGCAGGAAAGCTAATCAAGTTTCATGAGTTTGTCAATACCGACATTATCCATTGATATCATTAACTAATCGTCACCCAAATAGTTAATTAGGTTCAATATTCCTCAATTCTCTATAATGGTCATACCAATGTTAGTAAATCTTACTAACATCATTAGCCTACCTTATTTTGGATTGGCTAATCAAATCCAAAAGGTGGTTATTCATCATTGCTAACTTTGATCTATAATTCAAATCTAATTTACATTCCCCCATTTGTATCATTCTTATTTGATCTATAATTCAAATCTAGTTTACATTCCCCCATTTGTATCATTCTTATCTTTTCTCCTTTTGGTTTCATTTAAAAGCAAAAGATTCATAAATTAAACAGATTAATAAGATTCCCCTTATTTAAGGATGGTATAGATAGAGAATACTTATCTGCTACAAAGCTCGACTCATACTCCCTTGTTGCTCTTGTACACCTCTTATCGTTCCTCCTGAATCCATAAGTACACCATATTATTTCGTACTCAAATCACATTTCGCAAAATAACAACAATAATGGCTACAACATTCATTCCTTTTTTATTATTATTTTTTCCTTACATGTGCATCCCTATTATATCCTTTAGGATTATGATTCATTATCAAATCATAACGAATATCACAAATTCAATTTCAAATATGGTTTATTTCTTTTCAAAAGTCGGGATATGACGCTACATATTTTACAAAGGGAGGGAAATTGAATCCCATCATTAACATGGCTAAGTTTCTCTGTTTTATTAATTTGGCCAAATATGCCAGTAGGGTGGCTGACGCGATCAAAAGATTGATGTTTTCTCCTAAATGTTAAAGTGTTGAAGTAATAAATAACCCGATAAGACCGGATCGAATCACAAAAAGGTTAACTATATAAACAACAACAACAACAACAATAATATAAGGCGTCGGTAGGAGTGGAACCAAAAATTGTCAATCTATTTATCTGTTTCTGACACGGTTGACGACATAAGCCATGAAAAGACAAAAAACAAAAGTTAAAGAGAACTTTGAGATATAAGATTAATGTGAAGATGTGAAGATTAAACAATAAAAATAAATATCAAGGTTAGAAGATTCATTAATGGTATTTCAAACAAGTATAGTATAAACTCTTTTTATTACTTAACTAGAAACCATGTACAAAGGAGGTTCCAATCAGATTATAAATAGTTAACATGATTACATTAGTTATCTTATTCGAATAATGCTAATACTAACTTATGTTAACAACAAATCAAGTTCCTTTTATAGCACAAGTGTCGGTTATACCATATGGTTCAGTTATGAAAGTAGTAAGTATTTGTTGTATCAAGTGTTACATAACATAAATCTAGATTACAAGATTACAAATACAAAATATGTTAGTATCAAACACTAAAGTCTATGTTAAGTTTATACTATATTTATTCTCACCCTATTAGTGTAACCTTTTTACCTTGATATAATAAACTTAACTAAACATAATGAAAGAAGAGAAACATGAATAAACAAGATAAAAACATAAATAAGATATAAGTTAATTGATGCGAACCTCATGATCACATAGTCACACAACCCACACGCAAAGACACCAATTCCAGAAAAGCCAAGTAAATCAGGTTTGATAGAAGTGTGACACAAAGATAACTTGTACCTAAGCACCAGCACTATTGGAAATGTAAGTTCTCCCTCGGTTGATCATGACTGAGAATTATTGATTTATTAACTAATTATTGAGTGGGTAACCACATCT